TGTGTTTTCTCGTAAACCCGCTTTGCGTCTCTTGAAAAGTCAGGTCTCCTACGGACTTTGCGGAGTCGCTCTGTAGCGCTTGCTTGTAACTGCGTAACAGTCAATGAATATCCAGAAAGTTCAGGAAGACGCGTTCAAGGAGAAGATGGATATTCAGTTTTGTGAACAAGATGAGAGTTTTGTTCCCTTGTCCAATAGTCTGTGATTGTCCAGTTGGCATTCTCTAATAAATAACTCCGTAGCGAAGGCCTTCTTCTTTTCACCGTGTGTAACTCACAGTTCTGTCTCTAGCTTACAAATCTTCAGAGCCACACACGGCTAACAGCAAACTGGGGCTCATAACTCCTTAGACTCAGTAGTGTCTACCCTGGACAGTTAGGTCAATTCGGAGATCCGATCAATCAACCAAGAATTATCGCATAACACTCATCGGACAATGGTGTCTAAGCTAAGTAACTCATCAAGATAAATGTATTCTCTGGCTCTTTTCTGTACAACGCGTGCGATGTATCCCGAAGTATAACCTTGCGCCGTCAGACAAGAAGATGAAATAACATCTGTGTCCACTCTAGGTTAACCGGAATCTTCCAAGCTGGGATGTGACCACATGGATCTTGACCCCCTCTGCGCAGTGCTAAAGTTGAGCAGAGATGATATTCTTGTCTGACTCCAGTATTCTTATGGAAGCTTGGAAGATCCATCACTTGCCAGCAGGACACGAAAAGCATTATTTCCAAAGCCTTCAGAGTTCCGAACCAACAAGATTGTGTACAGAAGACATAAATCTCCCTTCTACGCGGATCACTGCGGATCACGTTTTTAGTCCTACACTACCACGGATGATCTGAGTAAATTAATTCCCGAGGTTCAGTTTTTACAAACCTCCCTCTTAAATGGGCTAGAAACGCCTATGAATAGCTTGATCTCAGACCTGCCAGGGGCAAATGATAGCAACCTGTCCCTTTGTCAACAGAGTCCTGCTCAATCCATCCCGGGGATTCGTGTACACAACCGCTTTCTTTGTTTGCGCCATTGTGTGCTGCTGGTGCACACAGGCGCACGTGTTGTTTTTATCTGCGTACGTGTACGTGTTCCTCTCTCAATCTGCTGTGGGTGTGTGTGTATGCCTTATCCTAGCAGCGTACATTCGCCCGGCTGTGAAATTAGACCGAAGTCGTCAGCTGCTGTCGATCAAGTGAGCTGAGATGAGAAGAACGTTTGCTGTCCTATATCTGGGTTCTCCACAAATATGTAAGGGAAAGGAGATTTAGTATAACTTGGTAACAATAAAATGACGAACAGAACCACGTGTTCGAATAGCTTGGGATTTACGGAATTTTTATCGGTTATCGATGGCTGCGACATTGCCTT